GGACAAAGGACTCTTGTCTGCTGGAGCTAGGTGTGAATGTTTCAACTGACCACCTTGATTAGCATTTGATGGCCTGGCAGTGCCTGGGCAATCTTTTGTTGAGAGGTGATTAGATGTCCTTGTATGTTTCCTAGATGCAGGCGAAATGTCAGGAGAGAATGCCTCTCGAACATGGCCATATAGCCCGAAAAAACCTACAACAACCCAGTGATTCCGGCCATGAAAGCCTTCGACAAATACATATCCAGGTCGGCGGGCAAACTTCAGCCCTCCAGGTGTTTTGGATTTCGACTCCCACAATTCCTAACAGCCTACTTTTGCATAGAGGTAGCCTGTCTATAATTGCCTGGAGGCATCCTTTGTTTGGGAGGTGTTACTCAATGATATTTAAGCTTACTAATTGCTTCCAACAGACAAGGATTCTTTATCCCACCTTGGACACTACACAAATATAGATACACACACACACACTCTCTTACACAGACACACATACATACACATACACACTCCACTTGCCTCATTTCCAACAGATGCCATTAGCCACAGATGCAGGCGAAATGTCAGGAGAGAATGCTTGCTATGTACTATATACATACCTAAATCCCTCAGACTTAAATAGAGCCTCCTCCTCCTCCAGAAAGTGTGTAGTATTGCAAGCCTCGGTTGTCGGTTCCTCCAGTGTTTTTCCACTCTGATGTGTTGACATGCTTCACCTTGCCTTCAAGCAGATTACGGGGAGAGTCATGGACCATGTTTTTGTGCAATAGATCTGTATCTCTGTGCATTTTCCCCTTTTGGGATCCCGGCAGATCCCCGCCTGCCCACTCAGACCTGCGTGACCCAAATCCCTCGGAGACGCCGATTATGGCATTATCTGCCGTGGCTGCAATTCGGCTAATTCCAAAGTCTCACACCGAGTGTAGATGTCTCCGCAAATTAGCAAAATCATGTTTTCTAAACACGTTGGTTTATTTATGCTGTCGAATGGGAAAGCTGTAGGTGGGTGTTTATTCCCTCTTTTCATGACTCTGTACAAGGGGTGCATCTACACTGTGGAATGAATGCAGTTTGATACCAGTTACCCAAATACCTGGGAGTCACTTTGGACTGTGCTCTGACCTACAAGAAGCACTGCCTGAACATCAAGCAAAAAGTGGGCGCTAGAAACAATATCATACAAAGCTGACTGGCACAACCTGGGGATCACAACCAGACACAGTGAAGACACTTGCCCTTGCGCTGTGCTACTCTGCTGCTGAATACGCATGCCCAGTGTGGAACACATCTCACCACACTAAAACAGTAGATGTGGCTCTTAATGAGACATGCCGCATCATCACGGGGTGTCTGCGCCCTACACCACTGGAGAAATTACACTGCTTAGCCGGTATTGCACCACCTGACATCCGCCGGGAAGTAGCAGCCAATAATGAAAGGACCAAGGCAGAGACATCTCCAGCTCATTCCCTGTTTGGGTATCAGCCAGCACGTCAACGACTTAAATCAAGACATAGTTTTCTTAGATCTACAGAGACACTCGCTGGAACACCTCAGCAAGCAAGAGTCCAAAAGTGGCAGGCCCAAACCCAGCACCTCAATCCGTGGGTGATACCAGGTGAGAGACTCCCCCCTGGGCACACAACTTGGAAGGAGCTGAACATACTGCACTCTGGCACCACAAGATGCAGAGCCAACCTCAAGAAATGGGGCTACAGGGTGGAATCCATGGCATGCGACTGACCATTTGCTGCAATGCACCCTGAGGCCTGCCACTTGCACCAGGGAGGACCTTCTTGCGGCAACACCAGAGGCACTCCAAGTGGCCAGATACTGGTCAAAGGACATTTAACCAACTACGAGGGATCGCCTAAGTAAGATATATATACACACACACACACCTACATACATACATACACATACACACACACACACGTATATGTATGTATAGTGCATAGGGTGGGACAAAGAACTCATGTCTGTTTAAAGAAACTGTGAATATTGCAGTTAGCAAGCTTGAATAGCATTGAGTAACACCTCCCAAACAAAGGATGCCTCCAGGCAACAACAGCCAGGCTACCTCTATGCAGATACTCTCACTGCTTGACTGCATTGTGTATATTGAACATAATGAAATCAAGGAGGAATTTAAAAGGGTCTGGCCCTGAAGGAGAGACCCTGTGGATCCACCAAAGAGGGCTCGCTACAATGGTGAGCAAAGAGAAGCCACAATTTAAAAGATTTTCCTAAGTTCCCAAAAGAAATCTCACCAAAGTTGAAGGAAGCGCCACCGAGATGATTTTATTGTGATTCAGCGGAAAAGGATGCAAAGCAGCAATATTTTGCCAAGCTAAGCATAACATGTGTACAAATGGAAGCCTTTTTTATACAGAAACGGAGTTGTCAGGTTTGAATTTCCTGTTCCTCGCCTCTCTGCCGGCTCGATGGTGATTGGCTGGTGCCCTACAGCTGGGCGGAGGCTTGGTCGCCTCCTGAGCGCCTGGGCCAATCGCTGGGCTTCTGCTGCCTCGGTGTCCTGATGAATCAGGAGAGAGAGAGACAGGACAAGAGGGAAACAATGGATTCTTGAGAGGATTATTGAAGATGGGAAATGTCCAAGCGGCCAGCGAGTCCTGGAGGCCTGTGAGACAACCTTTCTTATTGTCTTTGATTGGCTGTAATAAACATTGATTTCTGGCAAGCCTGCCAGACCCAGATTTTCTGGGTGCTAATATATAGAAACAATGAGGGAATTTTGGCTGAAGTTTCAGTGAAAGGAGATTTAAAATAGTAACAGATCAGGACAAAGGGTGGCTTTCCGAAGGGAGAAATATAGAAATCATGATATAGAAAACATACTCACTTATCCCTCCCACCAGAGTCCCATAGAAGTTCAAGAGAGTACATAAGTGTAAAGGGAGGGGGTTCTCAGTAATAAATGTGTTACTTTCTGCTATATATGAAGCATAGGGCATAAAACCTTGATTAAATGTACACACTATCTAACATGGGAAGGGTCCTTGTTGTTGTTAGTGTTTTGGCAAATTGACCAAGGCTTAACCCTTATTATCCAGTCTGGTGTCCTTGTCCACAGCAAAACTATAAGTTACTATCGTTTATTGGGGGGGGGGGGGTCATGTTCGACTTCAATAATGTGTAAATCCAATCAGATAAAACATTTTAAAAATCCAAAAGTACGCATTTCTTTAAAAATTGCATTAATTCTACAATGTTGATGCTGAATCCTGACTCGCCTCTGGTTGTGTTTATGAAGTCAATACGGACTTTAGGAGGGTCTCCCCAGTAAGAGAGAACCCTGGGACTGCACCAAAGAGGGTCTATGACCTTGGCGAGCCGTCAGAGAAGCCTGATTCCAGCAATTTTATTAATATTAATAATTGAAATGAGACTCTTGCCAAGGCGAAGAAGGGGCATCGAGGTTTAATGAGCAATTCAGCTGAGTCGGATGCAAATGCAGGGATAGCTCACCCACAAGCATACCAGTATATTGATCAGAGGCATATTTATAGCAAATTCAAAGTTGCAGAGTTCAAACTCCCCGCCCCGGCTTCCCTGTTGTTCCCTGCCCCCGGTGCCTCTGGACCAGTCAGGAAGCTCCAGTGGTCCGTAGGAACCAATGGGGAGACCTCTGCCACCTGGTGGCGACAGCCAATCAGGAGAGATGGAGGCGGGATGAGGGAGCACAAAGGAATCTGGGAAAGGAAATGCCATGTGGCCGGCGAGACAAAGGGGAAATCTCAAGCCAGCCTGATCTATCAACATGTGTAGACTGGGGTGATTGTTTCTTGGTGGAGATAGCTGAGTTAATCAGAGCGAAGGCAAAAGATTTTTCGAGGACCTTTTGTCCTTCAGGAGGAAATATGATTAAGATTTTTGCCAAAGGGGCAAGCTGAGGGCTGGGCAATTCCTCCGAGGGCCACCAGCTGCCCAGGCTATTGTTCATGCAAAAGGAAGTTGTGGATAAAAAAAATCCTGGAATGTTTGGGGCTTTGTAGTCCCTTTTGTGGAGTTTCTTCATGTATATAGGGGAAACAAAGGTCAGAAGAAAAGGGGAAAGGCTTCTGCCACACAAAGAAATCAGAAAACACATTTCATACATCTAAAGTTCATAAAAGGCAAGATTTCATAAGGTTTGTCCATGTGGGGGGAAAGAGTGTCCATAGGGGATGGCTAAAACGCAAGGGTGTTGCACAAAGGTCCTGGCAGGAGTTCTTGAGTGGCCCAAATGGACCTGATGTCTCTGGAAACAAGCTTTGCTCCCCGTCCTTGGAGAACTACAGCTCCCGAGAGAGGCAGAGACCCCAAGGTCTAGCTATTCCCAAAGTTTCATGGGGTCCTCATTGTTGTTAAGGCCTTGGCAAATTGATCAAGACTTAACCCCTATTGTGCAGTCTGGTACCTTTGTCCTTTGCAGAACTATAAGTCACCATCCCTTGTTGTGGAGGGGGGGGGACATGCTCGACGTCATTTATACCACGATCGCAGGCCTTTTAACCCATTCCATCAATTTGGTTTTGCAATCGTTCGTCAGCCGGAGGACAAAAGGAACTGGGGCTCTTTAGGGAACCTTCTGGAAGGATCTAGGCTAAACTCAGGTGCTTTCTAGACGGCCACAGTTAAACATAGCAGCCGACACGGCTAATCTCTAAATCCCACGGAGGGAAATTAACACTCTGCCCTCCTCCTGACGCAACCGCACATATAACACAGATCATTCGAGCGGAGTCTTTATTTATTTAGGAAAGAGGGAGCTGGAGTGACACACAACTTGCTGCCTATATATAGCCAAGCCAATGACCCCGATTGATGCCTGGGTTTGGAAAATTCCTACGAGCCAAAACAACGTTGTTGTTTAACAGGAGGAGGAGGAGGAAAACAACAACCAGGGAAGCGCAGGGCTGGTTAGATGGGTCTCCAAGGGATGGTTTGAGAGTCCCTTAAGGAAGGATCCTCTAACGTTGGCCCTTCTTTGCTTTCTGAAGCTCTGCTGCCAGGAAAGACTTTGCGAAGAAGGAAGAGACTTTGCCAAGAGGAAGAAGACAAAGAAAGGGAATCGCTGCGGAAATGGCTCTCCTGAAATGCGGATGGCTTTGGAGGCAGAGTAAGTGATGCGGATGGGATGGAAAGGGATCACAAGGGGAGATCGTCTCTTTTGATGGGACACATCGATGGCTTAGAACCCATGACTCTTAGTCCTAGTTTCCTCCAAGGAAGGAGCTTCCACCACACTCCAAGGCAGAGAGTTCCACTGCTGAACAGCTCTAAGAAGTTCTTCCTAATGTTCAGGTGGAATCTCCTCTCCTGTCATTTGAACCCATGACTCTTAGTCCTAGTTTCCTCCAAGAAAGGAGCTTCCACCACACTCCAAAGCAGAGAGTTCCACTGCTGAACAGCTCTAAGAAGTTCTTTCTAATGTTCAGGTGGAATCTCCTCTCCTGTCATTTTAATCCATGACTCTGAGTCCTAGTTTCCTCCAAGGAAGGAGCTTCCACCACACTCCAAAACAGAGAGTTCCACTGCTGAACAGCTCTAAGAAGTTCTTCCTAATGTTCAGGTGGAATCTCCTCTCCTGTCATTTGAACCCATGACTCTTAGTCCTAGTTTCCTCCAAGGAAGGAGCTTCCACCACACTCCAAAGCAGAGAGTTCCACTGCTGAGCAGCTCTAAGAAGTTCTTCCTAATGTTCAGGTGGAATCTCCTCTCCTGTCATTTGAACCCATGACTCTGAGTCTTAGTTTCCTCCAAGGAAAGAGCCGGTAGGCTGTTAGGAATTGTGGGAGTTGAAGTCCAAAACACCTGGAGGAAAGCCGGAGTTTGCCCGTGCCTGGCTTAGAATCACGAATCATAGAGTTGGAAGAGACCACAAAGCATACTCAAAGTACCCCTGACAGATGGCCATCCAGCATCTGCTTAAAACCTTCTAAGGAAGGAGATTCCACCACACTCCAAGGCAGAGAGTTCCACTGCTGAACAGCTCTATGTATTGTCGAATGCTTTCGTGGTCAGAATCGCTGGGTTGCTGTAAGTTTTTCGGGCAGTGTGGCCATGTTCCAAAAGTATTCTCTCCTGACATTTCGCCTCCATCTATGGCAAGCGTCCTCACAAACTCTGAAGATGCTTGCCATAGATGCAGGCGAAACGTCAGGAGAGAATGCTTCTAGAACATCACCATATAGCCCCAAAAAAACTATCTATAACAGGCATCCTCAGAGGTTGTGAGGTCTGTTGGAAACTAGGTAAATGGGATTTATAAATCTATGAAAAGTCCAAGGTGTGAGAAAGAACTCTTGTCTGTTGGAGGCAGGTGTGAATGTTGCAATTGGCCACCTTGATTAGCATTTGATTGCCTGGCAGTGCCTGGAGCAATCTTTTGTTGAGAGGTGATTAGATGTCCTTGTTTGTTTCCTCTCTGTTGTTGTTGTTGTTGTTGTTGTTGTTTTCCCAAACTCACAGCAACCCAATGATTCTGGCCATGAAAGCCTTCAGCAATACATTGTTGTTGTTTTCTCTCTTGATCAAGACCCAAAACAGTTTCAAAAGATATTAAAATAGACAAACAAATGCATTCAAACAACAACAAAAGGGGATTCCACCTAAAAACTTTCCGAATAACTTTTTTATCCTTCAAGTCCCTTGGAAGACAATGGACTTTCCTTCATTAAACAGATGTTTAGAAGCATCTCTTTCTAGACTGCTTTCCTAGTGGATTCCTTCCTGGCCGAACAAGGTCAGACTAGATGACCTCTGGGGTTCCCCTTTCCAGATCTGGGGCGCTGCCATGCCTTTGGAGCTTGAGCAGGTGGGTTGAGGACAGCTTCGGCAGCGTAGGTTACGTTTTGTCCGGGATCCGCTCTGCTTGACGGATTATCCACCTGAGCGGATGGCTGAATCCACTGAGGCAGAAGCTTCGCCATCTGTTCCTAGTCGCTTTCCAGATCTTTTGCCAAGCAGAACATCCTGACCCATTGTTGTCGGTGAGCATTAGAAGGTATCAGGACAACTCCCAGGACCCCATCGCATATAGAGCATGCCTGGGCAAACTTGGGCCCTCCAGGTGTTTTGGACTTCAACTCCCACAATTCCTAACAGCCTACAGGCCCCTTCTTTTTCCCCTTCAGCCGAGCGGCTGAAGGGGAAAAAGAAGGGGCCTGTAGGCTGTTAGGAATTGTGGGAGTTGAAGTCCAAAACACCTGGAGGGCCCAAGTTTGCCCAGGCCTGATGTAGAGCCATAATATATATATTTACAACACCAGGTGTACATTTTCCTTCCTGTTCTGCAGAGACAAATCAATACCCCATTAAAGCTTCTTTGTCTGGTCAAAGTTGTTAGCTTTGCGATATCCGATCCACCTATTTGGAAGCAATGTAACAAGCCAAGCAGAACAAGAGTGGAAGTGGCTATTGAAGGGGAATCAGCAAACAGAAAGCCTGATGGGTTGTTGTAGGTTTTTTCGGGCTATATGGCCATGTTCTAGAGAGGCATTCTCTCCTGACGTTTCGCCTGCATCTATGGCAAGCATCCTCAGAGGTTGTGAGGTCTGTTGGAATTAGGAAAATTGAGTTTATATATCTGTGGAATGACCAGGGTGGGACAAAGGACTCTTGTCTGTTGGACCTTGGTGTGAATGTTTCAACTGACCACCTTGATTTGCATTTGATGGCCTGGCAGTGCCTGGGGCAATCTTTAGTTGAGAGGTGATTTGATGTCTCCTATTGTTTCCTCTCTGTTGTTTTGCTGTTGTAATTTTAGAGTTTTTTAATACTAGTAGCCAGATTTTGTTCATTTTCATGGTTTCCTCCTTTCTGTTGGCTACCAGATAGATAGATAGACAGATAATCAGATAGATCAATAAGATGGATGGATGGATAGATAGATTATTAGATAGATTATCAGATAGATTATCAGATAGATAGATAGATAGATAGATAGATAGATAGATAGATAGATAGATAGATAGATAGATAATCAGATAGATTGATAGGATAGATGATCAGATAGATAGATAATCAGATAGATAGATAGACGATAGATAGATAGATAGATAGATAGATAGATAGATAGATAGATAGATGATCAGATAGATAGATAGATAGATAGATAGATAGATAGATAGATAGATAGACAGACAGATAGGATAGGATAGGATAGATAGATAATCAGACAGATAGATAGATGATCAGATAGATAGAYAGATAGATAGATAGATAGATAGATAGATAGATAGATAGATAGATAGGATAGATAATCAGATAGATAGATGATCAGATAGATAGATAGATATATGATCAGATAGATAGATGATCAGATAGATAGATAGATAGATAGATGATTAGATAGATAGATAGATAGATAGATAAGATAGATGATCAGATAGATAGATAGATAGATAGATAGATAGATATATGATCAGATAGATAGATGATCAGATAGATAGATAGATAGATAGATAGATGATCAGATAGATAGATGATCAGATAGAAAAATAGATAGATGGATAGATAAAAACGGAGAAAACCATGGAAATGAACAAAATTTGGTTACCAATATTTAAAAAAAACACCACTGAGAAACAGGAGAACTCCAGACAGCAAACAATCAAGTGCCAGTTCACACCTCCCAAGCAGAGGGTGCCTCCAGGCAACAACAGCCAGGCTACCTCTATGCAAAATCCCTCACTGATTGACTTTGCAGTTGCAAGGCTACTCAATGCTATTCAAGCTTGCTAATTGTATGTAAGGTTTCTCAGCTCCAACTGCGTAGCTATAGATTAGGCTTGGATCGATCTTCTCTGAAAGAACATGCCAAGACGCACATGGGCTGGAAATACCCTACGAATACAAGAGATTCGTACTACTGCCCTTCTATATAGGCTTAGCTACATTATCATAAATCACTCAAGAGTCCTGGTGCCTGGAGCTTTCCCTTTTTCACAATCCAGAGCCCACTAGTCTCCCACCTGGGGGCAATTGACGTCAATGGCTGGTTCATATGTCCTGTCCTCCCTTTTGGCCCATGACCATGTGCTGTGTGTCAGAATGGCTGATCGTTGGATAGTTGGATGGCATGAGATACAGATCATGACATTGCGGCATTCACACTTGCTTCCAATAGACAAGGGTTCTATCTCCCACCCTGGACATTATTCCACAGAATATATATACACACACACACACACACACACACACACACACACACACACACACACATAATATATACATACACACACACACATACATACATACATACATACATACATATACACACACATACACATACATATATACACATATATACATATACACACTCCACTTGCTTCATTGCCAACAGAACCTTTGAAGATGCCGTTAGCCACAGATGCAGGCAAAACATCAGGAGAGAATGCTGCTGGAACATGGCCAGACAGCCCAAAACACTCACAGAAACCCATTATTACCATTATTCATTTTATTATCATTGTATTCATTTTATTGTAATTGTATTATCAGGCTTGGCCTCATGTAAGCCGCCCCAACAGCACAACAGAGAGGAAACAAACAAGGACATCTAATCACCTCTCAACAAAAGATTGCTCCAGGCACTGCCAGGCCATCAAATGCTAATCAAGGTGGTCAGTTGAAACATTCACACCTAGCTCCAGCAGACAAGAGTCCTTTGTCCCACCCTGGTCATTCCACAGATATATAAACCCATTTTCCTAGTTCCAACAGACCTCACTACCTTTGAGGATGCTTGCCATAGATGCAGGCGAAACGTCAGGAGAGAATGCCTCAAGAACATGGCCATATAGCCCGGAAAAACCTACAACAACCCAAAGTTTATCATCATCATCATCATCATCATCATCATCATCATTATCATTATTCTACTTTATAGAATCATAGAATCCTAGAGTTGGAAGAGACCTCATGGGCCATCCAGTCCAACCCCATTCTGCCAAGAAGCAGGAATATTGCATTCAAATCACCCCTGACAGATGGCCATCCAGCCTCTGTTTAAAAGCTTCCAAAGAAGGAGCCTCCACCACACTCCGGGGCAGAGAGTTTCACTGCTGAACGGCTCTCACAGTCAGGAAGTTCTTCCTCATGTTCAGGTGGAATCTCCTCTCTTGTAGTTTGAAACCATTGTTCCATTGCGTCCTAGTCTCCAAGGAAGCAGAAAACAAGCTTGCTCCCTCCTCCCTGTGGCTTCCTCTTACATATTTATCCATGGCTATCATATCTCCTCTCAGGCTTCTCTTCTTCAAGCTAAACATGCCCAGCTCCTTAAGCCGCTCCTCATAGGGCTTGTTCTCCTTGATCATTTTAGTCACCCTCCTCTGGACACATTCCAGCTTTCCTCTCTTGAAAGAAACTTAAAGCAGCTAGCAACGATGCAAACCAAACAATGGAGGCTCCTTCTTTGGAGGCTTTGAAACTGAGGATGGATGGCCATCTGTCGGGAGTGCTTTGAATGCAATTTTCCTGCTTCTAGGCAGAATAGGGTTGGACTATATGGCCCATGAGGTCTCTTCCAACTCTATGTTAGATTTAAAACCCACACCATTTAAACACTAACATATAATTAATCACAGAACTCTTAAAAATAAATAAATCCACTAATTAAAAATTAATTAAGGGTCTTAAAACACCACAAAGCACTGTTTGGCTTGTTTCTTCATCCTATTGCTTTCTTTAAGTCCATGCAAAGGATGATCTCTCTCTGCTGCTATTTTAATGCAAAGTTTTTTGCAATGGGAGGATATTTTTTGATGCAACTCTGCTGCAAAATTGCACCAGGATATATTGCACCGGGACCGGGAATATGTAAATATACAGACGCAGTGACCTTTTAGCTTCCCCCAAGGGCTGGCAAGGATGGAAGATAGAAGAAGGTTTCCTACCTACGTGCGTTTTCGCCCTGTTCTCTCCATCAAGTCATTTTATCTCTTCTTTATTCCTTTGCATCTTGATTATTTATTGATAGCTGGTGCAAAGATGGCAACGCTGCCGTTTGGGCGCTTGGAGAATTTATGCTCAATCCAGCAAAATATAAGGATGCATCTACACCAGTCATGGGCAAACTTTGGTCCTCCCTCCAGGTGTTTTGGACTTCAACTCCCACCATTCCTAACAGCCTCAGGCCCTTTCCTTTTCCTCCTCAGCTGCTTTAGTTACCTCTAGATTGGACTATTGCAATGCGCTCTACGTGGGGCTGCCCTTGAAGACGGCCCGGAAATTCCAACTGGTATAACGGGTGGCAGCTGGATTACTAACTGGTGTAAATTACGGAGAGCGGTCAACCCTCCTGTTGGCTGCCGTTCATCTTCTGGTCCCAATTCAAGATGCAGGTTTTGACCTACAAAGCCTTTAACTGGGTTGTTGTAGGCTTTTTTGGGCTATATGGCCATGTTCTAGAAGCATTCTCTCCTGATGTTTTGCCTGCATCTATGGCAAGCATCCTCAAAGGTAGTGAGGTCTGTTGGAACTAGGAAAATGGGTTTATATATCTGTGGAAAGACCAGGGTGGGACAAAGGACTCTTGTCTGCTGGAACTAGGTGTGAATGTCCTAGAAGCCAAATCAACATCCCCATTTCCTTTTGGAACATCAACATGTCAACATGTACATCATCCCAATTCCCATCATGAAAATCATCATGATCATCAGACACAATCACAGCCTGAACAGGCTGACATACAACAATAATAACCTCCAATAGACTAGGAGGCTGGACACCATTATATTCGCTCTCTTTGCTCTTCTCTCTTGCATCTGATTGTTCTAACGAGTAAGTGTTATTGCAATGAATGTAAACAAAAAAAGAGCTGCTACTGAAGCAGAAACAACTGTCTGAAGTCAGTTAATCTATCTATCTATATATAAATGCTCTGTGCATAATGAGTGCCTTAAAAACAAAAGAACCAGTGAACGAAATCACACCAAATTTGGCAACAAAACGTCTCACAACACAAGGAGTGACCATCACTCAAAAATTTATGATTTTGTCATTTGGGAGTTGTAGTTGCTGGGATTTATAGTTCACCTACAATCAAAGCATTCTGAACTCCATCAACGATGGAATTGAACCAAACTTGGCACACAAAACTCCCATGACCAACAGAAAATACTGGAAGGTTGTGGTGGGTACTGAACTTGTATTTGGCAGTTGTAGTTCACCTACATCCAAAGAGCACTCAACTCAAACAAGGATGAATCTCGACCAAACTTGGCATGAGTACTCATATGCCCAAATATGAACACAGATGGAGTTTGGGGGAAATAGACCTTGACATTTGGGAGTTGTAGTTACTGGGATTTATAGTTCTCCTACAATCAAAGAGCATTCTGAACCCCACTAATGACAGAATTGGGGCAAACTTCCCACACAGAACCCCCATGACCAACAGAAAATACTTAAGGCCATCCAGTCCAACTCCCTTCACCAGGGCAAGAAAACGTAATCAAAGTCCTCCTGACAAAGAGCCATCCAGCCATAGATATAGATAGATAGATAGATATGATTCACACAGAGAGATATAGTATCATAGATTTGAAAGGGACCCTTAAAGAAGGACAATGATATGTTGCATATTCCAGAGTAGGCAAACCAGACACTCTCCACATCAACACTGACAAAGAAACAGCAAGAAATACTGTTTACCCACAAGCATAAAGAAATTACATATATTAGAAACCAACACTTTCTCATTACTTTATTTTCCAGATCAACAGACTGGGCCACAGCAACACGTGGCAGGGGACAGCTAGTTGGATAACAAAAAGCAAGTTGGTCCCTTCCAGCTCGAGGATTCTGTGATATCTCTATTCACCTTTCACTATCTCTTCTCCTGGCCTTTCCAGGTTCTATCCTGAGACGCTGGAAAAGGAACTGGTTCGTCTTGTGGGTGGACGGGGCCCTCGTCTATTACCACGATGACACCGGCCACGACATGGACGGGCGGATCAACATCAAGTTCAACTGCCGAGACGTCCGGATAGGGCGCGAGTGTCGTGGTGAGTGGACTTATCGGTATTACAGGACGTCCCTGAGTTACAAACATCCAACTCGTAGTTAAGGACGGTGATGAGACAACAGAAAGTGAGATGAATCTATCCCTAGAAAAGGAAATTAACTCCTGGAAGAGTTAGTATCATGGAGAAAAGAGGTCTTCACCAATAATATATATTTATTTTTGTTGTGTCAGGAGCGACTTGAGAAACTGCAAGTCGCTTCTGGTGTGAGAGAATTGGCCGTCTGCAAGGATGTTGCCCAGGGAACGCCCGGATGATTTTTGATGTTTTTATTATCCTTGTGGGAGGCTTCTCTCATGTCCCCGTATGAGGAGCTGGAGCTGATAGAGGGAGCTCATCCGCCTCTCCCCGGATTCGAACCTGCCGGCGCAGAGGTTTAATAATACTAATATTAAATACTAATATTATTAATACTAATAATAATTATTATATATATTATATTATATTATATATAATTATATATAATTATTTATATTATATATATATTATATATATATATAATATTATATATATATATATATATAATAATACACTTCATTTATATTCTGCTTTATCTCCCCGAAGGAACTGAGTGGATTAAGGTATACACATACATTAAGCAAACATTCAATGCATTTTACACAGTGAACAACAACGACATACAATACACAGTGAACAACAACGACATATAATACACAGACCAAGGTAAAGCCCTTCCCCTTTTTTCCATTTCTAGCATCTGGAGGCGATGCTCAACTCTGGCCATGGGGAGGTGCTCTTGTTCCATTTTTCCATGTTGAGGGGCCTGTAACCGAAAGATTGCCAATTCAAAGCCCTGGGTCGGTGTGAGCGCCCGACTGTCAACCCAGCTCACTGTTTACCTAAACAGTTCGAAAACAGCTTGAGCTGTAAGTAGAGAAATTAGATACCGCTAAACAAATGGGGGAGGTATTTTACGACACCATAAAGAAAATAATCAGAAAATCCCCGGTGACCAAAAGGAAGGAGGAAGTTCTGATGACTCTTCATCACAGAGGATGGAGCAACAGCGCCCCTTGTGGCTGGATTCAAGCACAACCTCCAAGGTGCCAAAAAGCTGGATGTTGACACAACATACCTCCTTTCTGTTCTGTCTGTCTCTGTCTTGTCTGTCCCAAATGGCATTGAATATTTGCCATGTATGTGTACTGTGATCCTCCCTGAGTCCTCTTAGGGAAATAGGATGGAATATAATAGATATTATTATTATTATTATCATTGTTGTTGTTGTTGTTGTTGTTGTTGTTGTCTATTGTATTGCCTGCATGTATGCTTGGAGTACCCTTTTACCTTCCCATCTAGGCGGTACCTATTGGTCTACTTGCATTGCATGCTTTTGAACTGCTAGGTTGGCAGAAGCTAGGGCTAACAGCGGGAGCTCACTTTGACTCATGGTTTCGAACTGCCAACCTTCTGGTCAGCAGATTTCCTGCAGCTGGCCAGAGGGTTGGCAGTTTGAAACCATGAGTCAAAGTGAGCTCTCGCTGTTAGCCCTAGCTTCTGCCAACCTAGCAGTTCAAAAGCTTGCAAAGTGAGTAGACCAATAGGCACCGCCTATTAACCCACTGGACTACTGCAGCCCCACCATTGCCTTCATATGACGCTGAGAGAGTGTGACTTGCCCAGGGTCACCCATTGCTAAGCAGGGATTCGAACCCAGGTCTCTTGCAACACTTAAACCCCTATATCATGTTGTTTTCCTATACCACGTTGTGTCTTTTATCGTCATGGAGGAAACGTGGTTGCAGCAAATGTTATCTCCTTCTCATCGTACCAGAGTTGGGTGGCTTCCCTGTTTTCTTCAGCCCTGGGACTCAAAACAAATGTAGATAGAAAGCAACTAAAAAGAACCAAGTAAAAGCCTATTGGAAGCATTTGCTGGACTGCAATCATAAACAATCTGGAAGATCCAACCCATCTGAGATGAAAGAAATCAATGAAACAGTGCGCCACTAAAAGCCCGAGCAGTCGATTCCTAAAAGGCTGTTGAATTGAAAAATCTTTGCAATTGGAAAGTAAACAACAGTTAGAACAGCCCCGGTTCCTGTTATGAATACTTTTTAAACAAAGGTCCATTTATTGCAATGTCAGTGTGGAAGGGAATGTCAGAACTCTTACAGAAGAACATTTAGACATACAGATTCTATAACTGCATTTTTGCTGGTACGGCTGTACCAGGAGCTCCAACTTTATTTTCTTTCTGTTATCAGTTTGCAGTCATAGGGCAGGCCTCCTGTCCATCATAATTAAGCTTTGGTTCTGCCCCTTGTTCAGGGGTCTGGGAGGGAAAGGAGCCATTTTTTGGACAATCTCACACAAGGTAGCTAAACTATAGGACGTAGACCAGCTTGTCCTGTAGAAAAGCTTCTTTTCTCAAGAGCATCCGGGGAAACCAGGCATCCGGGGAAACCGGGCGTCCGGGGAAACCGAGCGTCCGGGGAAACCGAGCGTCCGGGGAAACCGAGCGTCCGGGGAAACCGAGCGTCCGGGGAAACCGAGCGTCCGGGGAAACCGAGCGTCCGGGGAAACCGAGCGTCCGGGGAAACCGAGCGTCCGGGGAAACCGAGCGTCCGGGGAAACCGAGCGTCCGGGGAAACCGAGCGTCCGGGGAAACCGAGCGTCCGGGGAAACCGAGCGTCCGGGGAAACCGAGCGTCCGGGGAAACCGAGCGTCCGGGGAAACCGAGCGTCCAGCACTCACCGGCCAATCCCTCTCCAATGCCAGCGATACAGCTTAATGGTGTAACATTAGAAAATGTGGACAATTTCCGCTCCCTTGGCAGCCACCTCTCCACCAAAGTCAACATTGACACAGAAATACAACACCGCCTGAGCTCTGCGAGTGCAGCATTTTTCCGAATGAAGCAGAGAGGGTTTGAGGACCGGGACATCCGTAGGCCCCGCAGGGGACTCAGTGGAAACATTAAATGCTATAGAAACACAACATATATAGACAGACACACAGAGGCTATTTAACATTCCACCTTTCATGAGGGTATTCTGGCCACCAGGGGAGCTGTTGCTTCACCATCCATTAGCGACAATGATGGAGTACTTCCTCATTCTTTTTGCATGGTTGCTGGAGATTGTTATGGCATTGTAAATTAGTAAAATTAGCCTCCCTGCTTAAGCGGTACCTAAATTTCCTACTTGACAGATGCAACTGTCTTTCAGGCGGCAAAGGTCAACAACAAGCTACACAATGGTTGGGAGCTGACTCCGACCCAGGCTGGCTTCAAACTCATGATCTTTTGGTCAGTAGTAATCCTAATAGGAGCATAGTGTCTAGATCCAGGGAAGTCATGCTACCCCTCTATTCTACTTTGGTTAGACCACACCTGGAATATTGTGTCCAATTCTGGGCACCACAATTCAAGAGAGATATTGACAACTGGAATATGTCCAGAGGAGGGCGATTCAAACGATCAAGGGTCTGGAGAACAAGCCCTATGAGGAGCGGCTTAAGGAGCTGGGCATGTTTAGCCTGAAGAAGAGAAGGCTGAGAGGTAGATATGATAGCCATGTATAAATATGTGAGAGGAAGCCACAGGGAGGAGGGAGCAAGCTTGTTTTCTGCTTCCCTGGAGACTAGGACGCGGAACAATGGCTTCAAACTACAAGAGAGGAGATTCCATCTGAACATGAGGAAGAACTTCCTGACTGTGAGAGCCGTTCAGCAGTGGAACTCTCTGCCCGGAGTGTGGTGGAGGCTCCTTCTTTGGAAGCTTTAAAACAGAGGCTGGATGGCCATCTGTCAGGGGTGATTTGAATGCAATATTCCTGCTTCTTGGCAGAATGGGGTTGGACTGGATGTCCCATGAGATCTCTTACAACTCTTTGATTCTATGATTCTAATGCAGCTGACTCCCAGCCAGCTGGGCCACAGTCCCCGTGCGCAGCTGGCTGGGAGTATAATCTCTCTACTTAGTTATCAGTAGAATGTCTTTATCTTGCCATAAACAAGCAGTTTCCTTGGCACTCCAAACGGGTTCAGCTTCAGGATGCTGCATAACCACTCCCAGCCAAAGGATTCTTCTGCTCTAACAAGCCATCAAGCTAAGCCAAATGCAAAGCTCAAAGCTTGCAAACCTAGTGACTTGTTATATCTGAAGCAGATAACACTCCCAATTAACTTGTGGCAGCTCTAACAGAAAAGGTTCTGATCCTCTCTGTTACTTAGAAAGAGCCTGTTGTAAACCTCTAGTAGCAACAAAACTGGCCATATAATGCAGTTCCAAACATATGCAACTGTAAATCCAGAGACACAAACCTTTGTATTCAAAGGTGTCAAGTTGCAATCTCTCCGGGCTTCCAGTCCTCCCCTCTTTGTTAGCAGCGCTTTCACAGCTTGGCACATCAGCGCTGAATCATCCATATTGTTGTCTTGCGGACAATTGATGCCGTGAAAGGGCCCAAACAGAGGACGGGTTCATGTAGCCGAGCTCTCTCTTTTCCGTTGTCCCGACGAGATAATGCAACCTTCCTGCCAGTCTGCGGCAGGGTCCCCGGAGGGTCTCGGTTTCGGATACTGATGCAAAACACTCAATACACCGTCAGCAATTTGTACCTCGTCTTTCGCTTCCTGGCTGCAATGTGGCTGGAAATAACTTGTGGGAAATGCATTTCCCCTTTTTTGCGTGTATTCGCTGCACATCCTGCAGCATTGTTATTTGAACTTCCTGGGAGTCCAATGGAGTCTCTATCTCTGGAGGCTTTTAAATAGGGGCTGCATGGCCATCTGTCGGGAAGGCTTTGATTGTGTCTTCCTTGATGGCGGAATGGGGCTGGACCAGATAACCCTTGGGGTCTCATCTCTATGAATTTCTACCTCCCACATTTTTCCATTCTACGAAGGTTGAATGAAAAGTAATGCCTCCACCTTCATAACTCCTCATTGGATGGCAGTACTTGTATGCAGCAGGTACTGGCTTGTTCAGTAGACTCTCCTCTACAGTTCCATTTTGGCGGGAAGCCTTAGCATTGAACGGTTGTGTTGTTAAAGTGTGAAGTATGGAACCCTGCGCAGATGGTGGGTCAATGTGGCTTAAGTAATGAAAAGTATTGCCTCCACCTTTGTAACTCCTCAACAGATAGCAGTACTGGTATGCGGCAGGTACTGGCTTGTTCAGTAGACTCTCCTCTACAGTTCCATTTGGCAGAAAGCCTTAGCATTGAACGGTTGTGTTGTTAAAGTGTGAAGTATGGAACCCTGCGCAGACGGTCGGTCAATGTGACTTAAAAAAGTATTGCCTCCACCTTTGTAACTCCTCAATAGATAGCAGTACTGGTATGCGGCAGGTACTGGCTTGCTCAGTAGACTCTCCTCTACAGTTCAGCTTTGATGGAAAGCCTTAGCATGGAACGGTTGTGTTGTTAAAGTGTGAAGTATGGAACCCTGCGCAGATGGTGGGTCAATGTGGCTTAAGTAATGAAAAGTATTGCCTCCACCTCCGTAACTCCTCAATAGATGGCAGTACTGGTATGCAGCAGGTACTGGCTTGTTCAGTAGACTCTCCTCTACAGTTCCATTTTGGGGAAGCCATAGCATTGAACGGTTGTGTTGTTAAAGTGTGAAGTATGGAACCCTGCGCAGATGGTCGGTCAATGTGACTTAAGTAATGAAAAGTATTGCCTCCACCTTCGTAACACCTCAACAGATGGCAGTACTGGTATGGCAGGTACTGGCTTGTTCAGTAGACTCTCCTCTACAGTTCCATTTTTGGCGGGAAGCCTTAGCATTGAACGGTTGTGTTGTTAAAGTGTGAAGTATGGAACCTTGCGCAGATGGTCGGTCAATGTGACTTAAGCAACGTGCAGTCATTGAATTCTTGACAGCAGAAGGTGTCACCCTAAAGGTATCACCCCCAGAGAATGCAAGGTGTTTATGGTGATTGTGTTGATGTGAGTACTGTGCACTGTTGAGTGAGTAAGTTTAAAGATGTTGAGGTGACACCTTTGGCTGTCAAGAATTCAATGACTGCACGTTGCTTAAGTCGCATTGACCATCCGTCTGCGCAGGGTTCCATACTTCACACTTTAACAACACAACCATTCAATGCTAAGGCTTCCTGCCAAAATGGAACTGTAGAGGAGAGTCTACTGAACAAGCCAGTACCTGCCGCATACCAGTGCTGCCATCTGTTGAGGAGTTACGAAGGTGGAGGCATTACTTTTCATTCAACCCTCGTAGAATCGAAGAAATGCGGGATATTACAACAGCTATTGGCTGGAATATTTTGAAGGCCACACTATGGGTTGCATTGTTGGAATGGGATGGAAAAGAGAGGAGAGAAAAGGAGGGAAGGCAGGGGGCAAAACCTTGGTCGAAATCTCAGGGAGGTGAACCTCAAACACAAAGCATTTCTGTTCCAACCCTGTCACAGTCAATGGAGCCTGGTACTGAGTTGGCTTTCCACTCCTATTGCATTCCTCTGTTTCCGTGGGATGGCCAAGAATGTGCATGCGCTGCAAAGAAGTTTGCATTTCTAAAAGAGCTATAGGCAATGCAAGGTCCTCACTACCATGTTCCCCCCAAAATAAGACACTGTCTTAAATGCCACGACCCCTTAATACAGTTCCTCATGTTGTGGTGACCCCAAACCATAACATTATTTTCGTTGCTACTTCATAAATGTCATTTTGCTACTGTTATGAATCGTAATGTAAACATCTAATATGCAGGATGTATTTTCATTCACTGGACCAAATTTGGCACAAACACCCGATACGCCCAAATTTGAATACTAGTGGGGTTGGGGAGGATTGATTGTATCATTTGGGAGTTGTAGTTGCTGGGATTTATAGTTCGCCTACAATCAAAGAGCACTCTGAACTCCACTAACAATGGAATCAAGCCAATCTTGGCACACAGAACTCCCATGACCAAGAGAAAATACTGGAAGGGTTTGGTGGGCATTGACCTTGAGTTTTGGAGTTGTAGTTCACCTACCTCCAGAGAGCACTGTGGACTCAAACAATGATGGATCCGGACCAAACTTGGCACGAATACTGAATATGCCCAAATGTGAACACTGGTGGAGTTTGGGGAAAATAGAATCTTGACATTTGGGAGTTGTCGTTACTGGGATTTATAGTTCACCTACAATGAAAGGCACTGCAGACTAATTCAGCCAAAGAAGTCAGCCATAGCAGAGCACCTGAGGAACCAACCTGGACACAGGATATTATTTGAGAACACAGAAATGCTGGACCACTTTCACAACTACCATGTCAGACTACACAGAGAAGCCACTGAAGTCCACAAGCAGGTGGACAATTTCAACAGAAAGGAGGAAACCATGAAAATGAACATTATATTTTTATTTATATAGATTTAACCTTGCCAAATTACAACTCCATAGCATGGGGTTATGGCACATGAAGTGGCATCAAAGTGCATTAATTCTGCAGTGCACACTGGGACACTTAGGGTGAAAGAGTGCTCTGTAGCATGGAAGACTAAAGGTCTTGCAAAACTTCTATGGTATTGAGCCATGGGGCTTATTGGGTAACCAAACTGCTTTAAATCTGCAATGTAGATGCACCCAAAAGTCAAGATGAAGCACAATCATGGTGCCATATTTCTGTGTGTAGATCTTGGCCAACACCACAAATAAAAAAGCAGCAATGAGCCAAAACGATGAATTGTTGATATGCTTGTCTTTCTTTCCCTTCTGCTTTCCAGACATTCAGCCGCCGGAAGGACGAACCCGTGAGTGTCTGATGTGCATTGTGCAAAGAGACGGCTCCAAAACCATGCTCTGTGCAGAAAGCGAGGACGATGCCGTGTAAGTCGTGGCGGGGGATTAATTCGCCACAGCTCCAGGGCTGTTGGTATGCTCTGGGTTAAGAAGCCCTGCAAGTGTAGCACACAGTTGCGCATTGATCGTCGTCATGCGTTGTTGCCGTCATCAGCAACAACTGCTATGGCAGTTCAGTGCTGGATGTGGATAATGGGAATGGGAATCAAGCATACATTGAGGTCACCCCTGACTAGGAAAGGCTGGACGGCAAGTGTACTTTAGGATGCTGATGGGGGTAATGGGAGTTGTAGTCAAGTGCATCTAGATGCTGCCCCTTCTTGGGGAAGAGTAGTTGTTACTTTTGGATACAAGCTGTGGATAATAGGAGTTGTAGTCAAGCATATCTTGATGCTGGCTTCTGATGAGGAAGGCTTGTTATTTAAGATGCAAGTTGAGGATAATGGGAATTGTAGTCAAGCATACTGTGATACTGGCTTCTGATGAGGAAGGCTCGTTATTTAAGATATAAGTAGAGGATAATGGGAATTGTAGTAAGCCAATCTTGATAGTGGCTTGTAATAGGGAAGGCTAGTTATTTAAGGTGCAAGTCGAGGATAATGGGAATTGTAGTCAAGCATGTCTTGATACTGGCTTGTAATAGGGAAGGCTAGTTATTTAAGGTGCAAGTGGAAGATAATGGGAGTTGTAGTTAAGCATATCTAGATGCTGCCTTTTAATGGGGAAGGCTAGTAATTTAAGGTGCAAGTGGAGGATAATGGGAGTTGTAGTCAAGCATATCTCGATGCTTGCTTCTGATGACGAAGGCTAGTTATTTAAGATATAAATGGAGGATAATGGGAGTTGTAGTCAAGCCTATCTTGATGCTGGCTTGTAATGGGGAAGGCTAGTTATTTAAGGTGCATGTGGAGGATAATGGGAATTGTAGTCAAGCATATCTTGTTGCTGGCTTCTGATGAGGAAGGCTAGTTATTTAAGGTGCATGTGGAGGATAATGGGAATTGTAGTCAGGCATATCTTGATGCTGTCTCTTAATGAGGAAAGCTAGTTATTTAAGGAGCAAGTGGAGGATAATGGGAGTTGTAGTCAGGCATGTCTGGATATGGCCTTTTGATGGAGAAGACTAATAGTTCAAGTATGTTATTTGCTCTGAGTGATGGGAGTTGTAGTCAGGGAAACCTTTAAGCTGCCTCTTGCAAGGGAAGCCTGGGATTAGAGTACTTTAGGAGCACCTCCCAAGCTGTTGTGTGTTTCTCCTAATCCCAATTAACTAGGTATTCCCTTGGTTTTTGTTGGTCTTGTTTACGAAGTACTTAATGGCTGTTTTGGTGTCTCGTGGACCTTCCTTTGTGCATTAAAGGGTTTCCTTTGGGGACGCATCAACACGAGAAAACTTTCCACCCCTTTGTGTTGTTTACACACTTGTGTCCAAGCAGGTTTTCTCTCTGTGGCAACCAACGCTGAAATATTGCATAAAAGATAAATAAAAAAGAGTTAGGAGATATAGATATATGAAAATGAATTAATTTTTTTACTTTCCCTGGCTTTTAAATGATAATGCACAAGCATCCATGCGCCCAAGATTGCACTCTTTCGCTTACGTGCAGCTCAAAGGCTATTTATGGGATCATAGAATCATAGAATCAAAGAGTTGGAAGAGACCTCATGGGCCATCCAGTCCAACCCCCTGCCAAGAAGCAGGAATATTGCATTCAAATCACCCCTGACAGATGGCCATCCAGCCTCTGCTTAAAAGCTTCCAAAGAAGGAGCCTCCACCACACTCCGAGGCAGAGAGTTCCACTGCTGAACGGCTCTCGCAATCAGGAAGTTCTTCCTCATATTCAGGTGGAATCTCCTCTCTTGTAGCTTGAAGCCCTTGTTCCATTGCGTCCTAGTCTCCAGGGAAGCAGAAAACAAGCTTGCTCCCTCCTCCTCCCCCATGTAGCTCCTCTCACATATTTATACATGGCTATCATGTCTCCTCTCAGCCTTCTCTTGAAGTGTTCGACTTGTGATTTTGTGATACGAATCCAGCATAGAGATCTCGTTTGCTGTGACATACTGTGTTTTTGTGTCAGATAATAATAATAATAATAATAATAATAATAATAATAATAATACTGTAGGACTTTTGAATCCAGACTGACAAAGTTTTGGAACACAATACACCAGACATCACAATTGTGGAAAAGAAAAAAGTTTGGATTATTGATGTCGCCATTCCAGGTGACAGTCGCATTGAGGAAAAGCAACAGGAAAAACTCAGCCATTATCACGACCTCAAAATCGAACTGCAAAGGCTCTGGCATCAACCAGTACAGGTGGTCCCAGTGGTCATCGGCACACTGGGTGCCGTGCCAAAAGATCTCAGCCGGCATTTGGAAACAATAAACATCGACAAAATCACGATCTGTCAACTGCAAAAAGGCCACCTGACTTGGATAGCTCTAGACCAAACTTGGTACAAATACTCAATATGCCCAAATGTGAAAACTGGTGGAGCTTGGGGGAAATAGACCTTGACATTTGGGAGTTGTAGTTGTTGGGATTTATAGTTCACCTACAAAGAGCATTCTGAACCCCACCAACAATTGGTCCAAACTCTCACACAGAGACCCCCCATGACCAACAGAAAATACTGGAGAGATTTAGGATGAATTGACAGTGATTTAGGGGAGATGTAGTTCACCTACGCAAAGATGAAGTCCTTTGGCCACATCATGAGAAGAAAGGAAAGTTTAGAGAAGACAATGATGCTGGGGAAAATGGAAAGAAAAAGGAAGAGGGGCTGACCAAGGGCAAGATGGATGGATGGCATCCTTGAAGTGACTGGATTTATTTATTTACAGCTTTTCTATTCCGCCCTTCTCATCACCCCGCAGGGGACTCAGGGCGGATTACAGTGTACACATATATGGCAAACATTCAATGCCAATTTTTGTCATACAAACATATACAGACATACACAGAGGCTATTTAACTTTTTTCTGGCCTCCAGGGGAGCTGTCGCTTTCATCGTCCATCTGCGACGCTGATGAAGCACTTCCGCATTCCCCGCATGCTTCCCCGCTGGAATTTTGCTGGAGTCTTCTTTATGGCCTCATAAATCAGTTAATTTAGCCTCCCCACACTTTAAGGTGGTACCTAATTTTCCTACTTGACAGATGCAACTGTCTTTCGGGTTGCAAAGGTCGACAACAGGCTACACAATTGGTTGGAAACCCACTCCAACCTGGGCTGGCTTCGAATTCATGACCTTTTGGTCAGAGTGATCTTAATGCAGCTGACACTCAGCCAGATGCGCCACAATCCCAGATTGACCTTGAAGAAGCTGGGGGTGGTGACGGCCAACAGGGAGCTCTGGCATGGGCTGGTCCGTGAGGTCACGAAGAGTCGGAAATGACTGAACGAATGAACAACAACAAGTTCACCTACATCCGGAGAGCATCTTGTACCCAAACCACTATGCCAAAGGGATTCCTAAGACCATCAGAAATACGTGTTTTTGGCGGTCCTTGGCAACCCCTCTGAATCCTCCTTGCGAACCCCCCAGGGGTCCTGATCCCAGGTTGAGAAACACTGATCTAGGAGTTAGGACAGCCTATGAATGTTTTGATTCGTAAAGAAGTAAAACAGAACGTAGGACAACAAGACCGTTGTTTTGTGTCTCCCAAAAACTGCTCAGCCCACAGAGTTATGCCAAAGTGGGTTGTGGTTCTTTTGCGTGGTCTCTCTCCTCTCTTTCTCCCTTTCTTTCCATGTGATTCAGTCCAACTACGTTGGCCTCCAAAGCACCAGTTGTGTTGATTGTGCAGATTCCAGATAGAGCACAACAGGGAGGGGACGTGGGTGGTAGAAATCGTCCGACAAAATGGGCTCATTTTGATTTTCTTCAAACCGGATTACAAGACTCTACACTGTGGCGTAATGAAAATCACGCAGAGTTCACGTTTTATCAGTTTACACACTGTCTTGACAAGACAAAGAAAACACACCATGCAGATGATCAGTAAAGAATAGGTAGTTTACTCTTCACGACCGTACCTCGTGAAGTCAGATCTGGCCATGGTGGTCCACGCCTTAGTCACCTCCAGATTGGATTGCTGCAATGCACTCTACGTGGGGCTGCCCTTGAAGACGGTCCGTAAATTTTGGTTGGTCCAACGGGCGGCAGCCAGGTTACTAACTTGAGGCACTTACAGAGAGTGGTCTACCCCCGTTTAAGGAGCTCCATTGGCTTTTAGAAGTTACTTTTTTGCTTTTACCATTTGCTGACCTGATACTATTCTGGTTTTGTTGCAGAGCCTGGAAGATAGCAATCCTGGAGGCAAAAGCAACTCAGGTGAGTCGGGGTCATAAATAACACCAAACTAGAGGATTCTATGAGAGGAAATATTTTGATTAGTGCCGAGCAATATGGAAGCCAGCAGCAGGATTTTGGACATCTTGCTGCGATTGCAACATTGCTCCCCTTCTTATCTGTTGAAAAGAGCATCCTTCTCAAGCTTCCACTAGTTATTTGTTATTTATATAATTGCTTAGATACTTATTAGATTCACAGAACAGAGAGATGCTTTGCACTATGGACTATTGCTTCTAAGGCAGATGCCCTGTGTTACCTACACAGAGAAACTACTACAAAACCCTATTGTAACTGGATTCATAAGCAAAGTGCCTCTATGCTGTGTACATGAAGGTTTGTGAGTAAACCAACTCTGTTATTTTTAAAGGAGACTGCTTATTTTGTCTCCTAAGAGCATGATTCAAAGGCAAATATATTTTAAGGGAGAGTAGATGTTCTGGGGCAACTTCAAGGAACACTTCTGAAACTCTGCTGAATATATATGTTTTTGTGCATTGGCATGTCTTTGTCCCTAGCAGTTCAAAGACATCCCTAAGTACATTGGTTTTACAGCTGAGAGATCTAGTTGCCTTGCATGAATTTTCCAAAAAGGTTATGACTTCTAACAAGGTCTTGCCTTTCCTGTGACCAGTGGTTTTCCCAAAAGGTTACAAATCCCATTTCCCAAATAGTTAGGGAGATTCACATTTTCCAAAACTGTCTTCTCCAGGTCCACTTGTACGACCCATACGATGACTATTACCAGACGGTGCCCCTCGATTCTCACCAGACAGTGTACGTCAGCAACGATTACTACGGCCAGCAGTATGGAGGTATGTCCTCTCCTCTTTGCACCCCTTTCCTGGGTTACGGGCATGGTTTGCTAGGCCGGAGCAAAGATAGCAATGGAAAATCACCTTCTGAGTATTCATGGACTAAGAAAAGCCTATGAAATCCATAGAGTTGCCATAAGTTGACTTGAAGAACACACATCCTGGTTTGCACCATATCCATCTTGGTGCGTTGATGCCACTGGGCATAACAGGCTCTTCCTACTCAGGAGAACCATAATGAAGCAGTGTTGACTTCCTTACTTACAAGAGCCATTTTCTTTGGTAATGTAAACATGTTGTTTTCCACCAAGAGTTAATCATTTCTCTTTGGTCATCAACACTTCAGCAACTTTTAATTACGTTCCATGAATTCTTCACCTCCTTCTTGTAGTTTTCCAGGCTTAAATCTTAAGATGGCATCGCTAGATACTATAGACCCCAACCATCCACCGTTCATACAATTCCATTCAAACCATATATATTTAATGTATTGTCGAAGGCTTCCATGGCCAGAATCACTGGGTTGTTGTAGGTTTTTCCGGGCTATATGGCCATGTTCTGGAGGCAATTTTTCTCCTGATGTTTCGCCTGCATCTATGGCAAGCATCCTCAGAGGTAGTGAGGTCTGTTGGAAGTAGGAAAAATGGGTTTATATATCTGTGGAATGACCAGGGTGAGACAAAGGACTTTTTCCTACTTCCAACAGACCTCACTACCTCTGAGGATGCTTGCCATAGATGCAGGCGAAACGTCAGGAGAAAAATTGCCTCCGGAACATGGCCATATAGCCTGGAAAAACCTACAACAACCCATGTATATTTACTACATATGTATCCCAGGTTAAGTCAGCTTCCTGAACAAGTGTAGGTGGACATCTAGTGGCAACATCACAAATTACCCGGGATGTAGTCTACAAGAAAATTTTCAAACCAGGAACAGAACATTTATCAAATTTTGTGACATAGTGTTGCTGTTGTTGTTATTTTTATTATTACTACTATTACTATTATTGAGAGTAAACCAAGTTCATCGGGACTCCCTTTGGCTTCACTTGTTGCTGTGTTGTGTTGTTCCCCTTGCAGCGTCCGGAGTGACTCACGTCATTTTCCGCGAGGACCCTTCCCGTGTCTCCGGGGACCAAATGGCACTGGGGTTGTTGGCCGGAGCCGCCTCCGGAGCAGCTCTGGGTTCCTTCATGTGGATGCCCTGCTGGTTTTGAGCTTCCCCTTTGGCCGCCTCCACCCCAGCCCTGCCTCCGCCACGCTCAGCGCAAGACGCCTCCGACGTTCCCTTGGAGAGGACCACTCATGTGCATTGGTCAGAGGGGCAGTGGCGGGTCTGCTGCTAGATCCCACAAGCAGGAGGGCAAGCAGGCATGTCCTATTGTTTCATCATTGTGGTGCCCCAATAACGCTTTGCCCCACCGACCCACGCAGCCCTTTGCATCCCTGCAGCTGGGAATCTTTTCTAGGTTTTGGATGGCTCCAAAAGAACTCTCCAAGGTGCTGAACCTAGTATAGCGTTCTAATTCAGCACCTTGGGCAGTGCCCATAAAACCATGACATGGGAGCCACAAACACTCAACCGTCCGTGACCTAACATTAGCATCTTAGCAACTAGTATATTTATGGCACAAAGGGATCCTCTTCTGGTGTTAGACAAGGTAGCACCCATAAAACCCTGACATGGGAGCCCAAAACACCCCAAAGCCAGGTTCTTAGTGTCTCTGGATCCGGGAATCTCCTCTAGGTTTTGGATAGTTCCAAGAGAGCTCTCCAAGGTACTGAACCTAGTATAGCGTTCTAATTCAGCACCTTGGTCAGTGCCCACAAAACCTTGTCATGGGAGCCAAAACACCTCAAAGCCAGGCTCTTAATGTCTCTAGATCAGCGTTTCTCAACCTTCCTCATGTCACGACCCCTGAGTACAGTTTCTTATGTTGTAGTGACCCCCAACCATAAAATTATTTTTGTTACTACTTCATAACTGTAATTTTGCTACTGTTATGAATCAAAATGTAAATATTGATATGCATAATGTATTTTCATTCACTGGACCAAATTTGGCACAAATATCAAATACCCCCAAATTTGCATACTGGTGGTCTTGGGGGGGATTCATTTGGGAGTTGTAGTTGCTGGGATTTATAGTTGACTTACAATCAAAAAGCATTCTGAACTCCACCAATGAAGGAACTGAACCAATCTTGGAACACACAACTCCCATGACCAACAGAAAATACTGGAAGGGTTGATGGGTAGGGCATTGATCTTGAGTTTGGGAGTTGTAGGTCACCTACATCCAGAAAACACTGTGGACTCAAGCAATGATAGGTCTGGAAGAAACTTGGCACAGATACGTAATATGCCCAAATGTGAACACTGGTGAAATTTTGGGAAAATAGACCTTGACATTTGGGAGTTGTAGTTGCTGGGATTTATAGTTCACTGATAATCAAAGAGCATTCTGAACTCCACCAACAATAGATTGGGCCAAACTTCCCACACAGAACCCCCAGGGCCAACACAAAATACTATTTTTATGATATTTGGTGACCCCTCTGATACCCCCTCACGACCCCCCCAGGGGTCCTGACCCCCAGGTTGAGAAACGCTGCTCTAGGTCTAGAAATCTACTCTAGGTTTTAGATCGCTCTAAGAATACTCTCCAAGGTGCTGAACGTAGTATAGGGTCTTAATTCAGCACCTTGGTCAGTGCCCATGAAACCATGAGATGGGAGCCCCAAACACCCCAAAGCCAGGTTCTTAGTGTCTCTGGATCCGGGAATCTTGGTTTTGGATAGTTCCAAGAGAGCTCTCCAAGGTGCTGAACCTAGTATAGGGTCTTAATTCAGCACCTTGGTCAGTGCCCATGAAACCATGAAATGGGAGCCCCAAACACCCCAAAGCCAGGTTCTTGGTGTCTCTGGATCCGGGAATGTTGGTTTTAGATAGCTCCAAGAGAGCTCTCCAAGGTGCTGAACCTAGTATAGGGTCTTACTTCAGCACCTTGGTCAGTGCCCATGAAACCATGAAATGGGAGCCCCAAACACCCCAAAGCCAGGTTCTTAGTGTTTCTGGACCCGGGAATCTAGGTTTTGGATAGCGCCGAGAGTTCTCTCCAGGGTGCTGAACCTAGTATAGGGTCTTAATTCAGCACCTTGGTCAGTGCCCATGAAACCATGAAATGGGAGCCCCAAACACCCCAAAGCCAGGTTCTTAGTGTTTCTGGACCCGGGAATCTAGGTTTTGGATAGCGCCGAGAGTTCTCTCCAGGGTGCTGAACCTAGTATAGGGTCTTAATTCAGCACCTTGGTCAGTGCCCATGAAACCATGAAATGGAAGCCCCAAACCCCACAAAGCCAGGTTCTTAATGTCTCTGGATCTGGGAATGTTGGTTTTGGATAGCTCCAAGAGAGCTCTTCAAGGTGCTGAACCTAGTATAGGGTCTTAATTCAGCACCTTGGTCAGTGCCCATGAAACCATGAAATGGGATCTCCAAACACCCAACCATCTCCAATCCGGCATAACTCTGATGCAAGTGCATTGGCATCTTATAGCCAAGCACATTCATAGCACAAATGGACCTTCTTGTGATGCAACAGATAATAAGCTTTCTACTCATGGGCCCTGTGTTGTTTACCCTGAGCAATTGTCCCATTTGGCTCTGCTTGGAAGGCTGGTCAATGAACCAAGCAAGCGCCCAAACCACCCTTTGCCTCACCTGCCCACACAGCTCTTAGCATCTCTGGAGGTGGGAACCTCCTGTAGGTTTTGGAAAGATTTAAGAGATATTTTCAATGTGATGAACCTTCTTTAGGGTTTTGGTGCAGCATCTTGGATACACTGGTAAGACCATGACATGGGAACCACAAACACACAGCTATCCCTGACCCTATGTGATGCTGATGCTCCACTGGCATCTTACAACCAGGGATATTCATGGCACAAAAGGGTTCTCTGGTGTTGTGGCTAACCATACCTTTTCTGCTCATGGGCCACCATGTTTCTTTGGGTTCCACTGACCCTGAGCAACCATCTTGGATCTTCTTGATGGGCCTTGGAGAGCCACTCAATGAACCAAGCAGGTCCCCAAACCATGCTTTGCCCCATTGTCCACACAGTGAATTTCTAAGGATCCCCAGAGTCAGGGATCTAGGTTTCAGGTGGTTCCAATTGAGCTCTCCAAAGTACTGAACCTAGTTTGGTGTTTTGACCCATCACCAATGGGTAGCGCCCATAAGACTCTTGTGATGTGGCAGAAAATAAGTTTCTAGGTTGTTGTAGGTTTTTCGGGCTATATGGACATGTATTGTTGAAGGCTTTCATGGCTGGAATCACTGGGTTGTTGTAGGTTTTTTTGGGCTATATGGCCATGTTCTAGAGGCATTTCTCCTGACGTTTCGCCTGCATCTATGGCAAGCATCCTCAGAGGTAGTGAGGTCTGTTGGAACTAGGAAAATGGGTTTATATATCTGTGGAAAGACCAGGGTGGGGCAAAGAACTCTTGTCTGCTGGAGCTAGGTGTGAATGTTTCAACTGACCACCTTGATTAGCATTTGAAAGCCTGGCAGTGCCTGGAGCAATCTTTTGTTGAGAGGTAATTAGATGTCCCTGATTGTTTAAAAACTCTAAAATTAAAACAGCAAAACAGCAGAGGGAAAACAATCAGGGACATCTAATCCTCTCAACAAAAGATTGCTCCAGGCACTGCCAGGCTATCAAATGCTAATCAACCTCTGAGGATGCTTGCCATAGATGCAGGTGAAACGTCAGGAGAGAATGCCTCTAGAACATGGCCATATAGCCTGAAAAAACCTACAACAACCCTATATGGCCATGTTCTAGAAGCAGTCTCTCCTAATGTTTCAACTGCATCTTTGTCAAGCATTCTCAGAGGTTGTGAGGACCTCACAACCTCTCGATGCTTGCCATAGATGCAGGTGAAACATCAGGAGAGAATGCTTCTAGAACATGGCCATATAGCCTGAAAAACCTACAACAACCCAGTGGTGAAAGCTTTCAGAAATAAGTTTCTGGGTTCTTTTGGGGGGGGGGGTGCTACTGTGTTCCTTCATGCACCACTTGCCTTGAGCCACATCTTGCCCCACTTGACTCTGGTTGATGGGCCAGTCAAAGAACCAAGTGGGTCCTCAAACATGATCTGCCCATACTTTTTTGGAGAGTCCCGTCCCTTGCAATAGTCTTTTCTGCCCATGGCATTGGACGGCTTCCATATCAGTGGAGCAGTCAATCTCTTCTAGGTTTCAATCCATGCTTTAAGGAAGCTCTCCAAGGTGCCAAACCTGCTTGAGTTGTACATCTAGGGCAGTGGTTCTCAACCTGTGGGTCTCCAGATGTTTTGGCCTCCAACTCCCTGAAATCCTAACAGCTGGTAAACTGGCTGGGATTTCTGGGAGTTGTAGACCAAAACACCTGGGGAGAACCACTGAAAAGGCTGCACAACAATAACTTTGTTCCAGAATACCTTGGACAGCTCCTTGAGAGCTAGGTAAAACCTGGCATGGATTTATTTGCCCACTGACATGGGAAGCACCCATCGCTGTTGTTTTCCTTTTCTTGTGGGCAGGGCATTCTCTTGTCTTCAGAGGCTGTTGGCATTCTTCAGCTAGGTATGTTTATGGCATAACATAGATATTTTGTTTTCACAAAAATAGCAACAAAAACTATACTGTATAGAGCACAGCACATTATAAGCACAGAAGTTGTCCAAACAGGGCAACTTTGTCCAAGTTTGGGGAGAAATACAAGATGGTGATGAGGATGATGATATATATTTGTACCAGGCATGGGCAAATTTTGGCCCTCTAAGTGTTTTGGACTTCAACTCCTACAATTCCCAACAGCCATCTTCTCCTCGAAGAGGCCCTATTGCCTCCTTGTTTTTCCTTTTTCTACTGACATAAGAAAAGAAGCCCTTTTTATTGTTTTTAATGTCCCTGGCAAGCCTGAGCTCGTTTTGTGCTTTAGCCTTGCGGACCTTTTCCCTACAGGTGTTGGCTATTTGTTTGAATTCTTCTTTGGTGATTTTTCCCTTTTTCCACTTCTTTTGCATGTCTCTTTTGTGTCTTAGCACAGTTAGAAGTTCTTTGGACATCCATTCTGGCTTCTTTGCACTTGGAGGCAATAGGGCCTCTTCGAGGAGAAGATGGCTGTTAGGAATTGTGGGAGTTTAAGTCCAAAACACCTGGAGGGCCCAGGTTTGCCCATGCCTGTTATAAGGGATCTCTGTTGCCCCATTAGCTATATGAAATAAGCTATCCAGTGTGCTGGAGTCTTTATCTTTCGGTATGTACTCAGTGCAATGGAAAGATTCATTAAGGTTATCTGGAAAAAACCTGGACTGGATTCCTCATCCCACTGACATGGAGTTGCCCGTCTGGGCTCCCAATATAACCCCGAGGGCTAAAGATGCACCAAAAACATCAATGAGGATCACAGCCTTGGACATCAGTTCCCAGAATCATCTGCACAGCCAGTATCGGGAGATTCTGGGAGTTGTAGTCCCCTGAAAGGCCTGCTTGTCCAGAAATACCTGTCCCCAGGGCGAGGGCTCAAACATAGTACCAAGGCACACCTGCGGTTCTCACCGGAGGAACAAAGAGAGGACACTGCCAAAACCCTCTCGAGGTCCAACAGCACAAAACTAGTAGGTCTTGCTTTGCTTGCCACGTTTCCGTGTCCGGGTTCCGTGTGTTGGCTTGCAGCCTTTTTGGTTCTGCCAGACGTCGTTTGAAAACACTAATACTTCATTATGTATATTTTGGAAGAAAAAGAAATGCTATTTAAGAATAAATATATATATGTTGCTATTAATTGCACTGGGTGAAGTCTTGTCTTTCGACCAATGGGTTGTGTTCAATGTGCAAGTGATCTGCAGCCAGAACCTGTCAATGGGCATGGATGGGAAGTGACCACTTAGTCACAACAGGAACAGATCCACTGAAACCTAGAACCCTAGAGTTGGAAGAGACCCCAAGGACCATTCTTCCAGGCATTTCCGACTCTTGGTGACCTCCTGGACCAGCCCATGCCAGAGCTCCCCGTTGGCCGTCACCACCCCCAGCTCCTTCAGAGTCAAGCCAGTCACTTCAAGGATGCCATCCATCCATCTTGCCCTTGGTCGGCCCCTCTTCCTTTTTCCTTCCCTTTTCCTCAGCATCATTCTCTTCTCTAAGCATTCAAACTGCAGGAAAAAAAGAGTCCACCCAGAAAGGAGGAAACCATGAAAATGAACAAAATCTGGCTACCGGTATTAAAAAACTCAAAAATTGGAGCAGCACAACAACAAGAGAGGAAACAAACAAGGCCATCTAATCACTTCTCAACAAAAGATTGCTCCAGGCACTGCTAGGCCATGTTCTAGAGGCATTCTCTCCTGACGTTTCGCCTGCATGTATAGCAAGCATCCTCAGAGGTAATGAGGTCTGTTGGAACTAGGAAAATGGGTTTATATATCTGTGGAAGCATTCTCTCCTGACATTTCACCTGCATCTATGGCAAGCATCCTTAGAGGTAGTGAGGTCTGTTGGAACTAGGAAAATGGGTTTATATATCTGTGGTAAGACCAGGGTGGGACAAAGGACTCTTGTCTGCTGGAGCTAGGTGTGAATGTTTCAACTGACCACCTTGATAGCCTGGCATTGCCTGGAGCAATCTTTTGTTGAGAGGTGATTAGATGTCCCTGATTGTTTTCCCTCTGCTGTTTTGATGTTTTAATTTTAGAGTTTTTTAAATACTGGTAGCCAGATTTTGTCCATTTTCATGGTTTCCTCCTTTCTGTTGAAATTGTCCACATGCTTGTGGATTTCAATGGCTTCTATAGTCTGACATGGTGGTTGTGAGAGTGGTCCAGCATTTCTGTATTCTCAAATAATATGCTGCGTCCAGGTTGGTTTTCTGATGGTCTTTGGCGACCCCTCTGATACCCCCCTCATGACCTCTCCAGGGGTCCCGACCTCTAGGTTGAGAAACACTGATGTAGATGTTAAACAACATGGGGGACAATACTGAGCCCTGCGGGACCCCACAGGACAATGGCTGTGGGGCCGAGCAGGAGTCCCCCAACAACACCCTCCAGGAAGGACTGGAACCACTGCAGAATTTCCCTTTCTCTGGAGGTCTTAAAGCAAAGGCGGGATGGACATCTGCTAGGATGCTCAGATTGTGTCTTCTTGTGCAGCAGAACAGGATTGGACATTGGTTTCTTCTATCTCTGGGATTCTATGCCTGCCTCCCATCACAATCTGTTGGAAACCTCTCCTTCAGCAAAGACGGAACAAAACCATCGAAATGCAGTCCTTTGCATGCGAGTCCCGGCGGTTTCCTCTTGATGAGCTTACAGGCTCAGCTCCACCAGTCAGACTGGATAATCCTTTGTTTAGATAAAAGGGAGGTGAGAGAATGAATGATGTGCCTCGCGTGTGACCGAATCACCCAGAAGTCATGGGTTTTCCTCTAAGGATCAGCTCATTTCCATCTCTTGAATATTTATAGCATCTGGAAGTTCATGACCCGTCTCTTAGACTAGGTTTGGACTATTTTACACATGGGTAAAATTTATTTATTTATCGTGTCAGGAGAGAACCAAACCAGTTGTGTTGCATTAAAAAAACAGACAAACAAACAAACAAAACACAAAATGTCCTTTGACCAGTATCTGGCCACTTGGGAGTGCCTCTGGTGTTGCTGCAAGGAGGTCCTCCATTGTGCATGTGGCAGGGCTCAGGTTGCATTGTAATAGGGGATCTGTAGTTTGCTCTTCTCCACACTCGCATGTCGTGGATTCCACTTTGTGGCCCCATTTCTTAAGGTTGCTCTGCATCTCGTGGTGCTAGAGCGCAGTCTGTTCAGCGCCTTCCAGGTCGCCCAGTCTTCTGTGTGCCCAAGGGGGAGTCTCTCATTTGGTACCAGCCATCTGGATTTGAGCCTGCCACTTTTGGACTCTCACTTGCTGAGGTGTTCCTGCGAGTGTCTCTGTAGATCTTAGAAAACTATTTCTAGATTTAAGTCGTTGACGTGCTGGCTGATACCCAAACAGGGGATGAGCTGGAGATGTCTCTGCCTTGGTCCTTTCACTATTGGCTGCTTACTTCCCGGTGGATGTCAGGTGGTGCAATACCGGCTAAGCAGTGTAATTTCTCCAGTGGTGTAGGGCGCAGACACCCCGTGATAATGCGGCATGTCTCATTAAGAGCCACATCCACTGTTTTAGCGTGGTGAGATGTGTTCCACACTGGGCATGCATACTCAGCAGCAGAGTAGCATAGTGCAAGGGCAGATGTCTTCATTGTCTGGTTGTGATCCCCAGGTTGTGCCAGTCAGCTTTCGTATGATATTGTTTCTAGCACCCGCCTCTTGCAAAAGTGGGTGCTAGAAATAATATCATATGAAAGCTGACTGGCACAACCTGGGGATCACAACCAGACACAGTGAAGACATCTCCAGCTCATCCCTTGTTTGGGTATCAGCCAGCACGCCAACAACTTAAATCAAGAAATAGTTTTCTAAGATCTACAGAGACACTCGCTGGAACACCCCAGCAACCTCAAGAAAAGGGGCCACAAAGTGGAATCCACGACATGTGAGTGTGGAGAAGAGCAAACCACTGACCGCCTGGTGCAATGCAACTTGAGCCCTGCTACATGCACAACGGAGGACATTCTTGCGGCAACACCAGAAGCACTCCAAGTGGCCAGATACTGGTCAAAGGACATTTAATCAACTACCAAGCTTGCAAACTTTGTGTTTTGTTTGTTTGTTTGCAATACAACTGTATGCAATACAACTGTTTGGTTTGCTCCTGACACGATGAATAAATATCTAAGTCGTTGATAAAGATTCTGTACAGGACCGGGCCCAGGATGGAACCCTGCTGATGGCACTCCACTCGCCTCTTCTTTCCAGGATGAAGAGGAAGCCTTGGGGAGAATCACTCTCTGGGTTCGTCCATTTAACCAAGTACAGATCCACCTAGCCATAGTTTTGCCTAGCCCACACTGGACTAGTTTCCTTGCCAGAAGGTCATGGCGGACCTTGTCGAAGGCCTTACTGAAGTCCAGGTACTAATCCTAACTCTGAACAAAGTATGGGAATGTATCCCCTGTAGATACAGGTGTCTTATTATATAGCTATAGTTTGAGAGTTCGTGACTCGAGACCAGGATTCGAATCCTTGCTGGGCCCTTGAGAGCTACTTTGAGTCTCCTGCGGGAGAGATAAAGTGGGGTATAAATAAATATAACAACAACAACCCACTGGAGGACATTGGATAGATCAAGTTCTTGGCATCAAAAGAAGGCAATGTTGGCAAATCTCCTCCAAACAAACAGTGTCAAGAAAATTCCATGACGTTAGTAAAGGTTTTCGCCTGACATGTCCAACTCTGGGGGTTGGTGCTCATCTCCATTTCTAAGCCAAAGAGCCGGCGTTGTCCGTAGACACCTCCAAGGTCATGTGGCCACTGGCATGTCTGCCTGACATTAGGTAGGGCTTGAAAGAACATAAGGAACACACAGCTTAAGGATTTCATATTTACAACTCCGGGAAATGACCAGAAGATAGCGCCATTGAGCCACCAACGAGCAGAAATAAGAGAAATTGATGTATTGTCGAAGGCTTTCATAGCCAGAATCACTGGGTTGTTGTAGGTTTTTTCGGGCTATATGGCCATGTTCTAGAGGCATTCTCTCCTGATGTTTCGCCTGCATCTATGGCAAGCATCCTCAGAGGTAGTGAGGTCTGTTGGAACTAGGAAAATGGGTTTATATATCTGTGGAAAGACCAGGGTGGGACAAAGGACTCTTGTCTACTGTAGCTAGGTGGTCAGTTGAAACATTCACACCTAGCTCCAGCAGACAGGAGTTCTTTGTCCCACCCTGGTCATTTTGTTAGTTTTGGCCAATCATCTCTCTAATCTGTCAAGATCGTTTTGAATCCTGCTCCTGTCCTCTGGAGTATTATCCCTCCCAATTTGGTGTCATCTGCAAACTTGATGATCATGCCTTCGAACCCTTCATCTAAGTCATTAATAAAGATGTTGAACAGGACCGGGCCCAGGACGGAACTCTGCTTGTGGCACTCTGCTCGCCACTTCTTTCCAGGATGAAGAGGAAGCATTGGGGAGAATCACCCTCTGGGTTCGTCCATTTAACCAATTACTGATCCATCTCACCGTAGTTTTGCCTAGCCCACATTGGACTAGTTTCCTTGCCAGAAGGTCATGGGGGACCTTGTCGAAGGCCTTACTGAAATCCAGGTACGCTCCATCCACGGCATTCCCTGCATCTACCCAGCTTGTAACTCTATCGAAAAAAGAGATCAGATGAGTCTGGCATGACTTGTTTTTCATAAATCCATGTTGACTATTAGCGATGACCGCATTTGTCTTTAAGTGTTTGCAGACCACTTCCTTGACGATCTTTTCCAGAACCTTGTCTATTATTAACGGCCACAGAAATATAAATACAGACAGGCATTGATGGAAACAATCGGGTACAGAGTCCAGTCGGCCTTCCATCTTCAGCACCAGCTGAGTGTCATCTGCGTACTGGTAACACTCAAGCCCAAAACCTCGAACCAGCTGAGCAAGTGGTTGCATATAGATGTTAAACAACAGAGGGGAGAGAATTATCACGGTATATTGTGGTAAGTCCAGTGTGTGTGTGTGTTAAAGAAAACTTTGCAGAAAAGCCTTGCATAGCGTTAATGATTAACTACAGCTGTAAGCTAGCTCAGCTCAGCAAGGCTAGGCCACGCCTCTTCTATGTATCAGTTTTTGAGGCTTTTGCAGACTGTTGGCAGTTCGCTGTTTGAAATGCTGGAGAGCAGAAGCAAGAAGCTTATGCAATGGTGAAGTAACCATGTTTTATTTTGTTATGCTCTATGATTTATAACACAGAAGATTTATTCTGTATTACTTACAGTGACTATGTAAGTGTGCCAAGCTGTTTTATTTTCAACTCTACAACCAAGAGTAAAGTTCTACTGTTTTATTTCTTCTGACTGGTCTGTGTCTTTGGCATTGGGTTTTTGGACATATTGGACATTGCTACTGTGCAACAAATTGATTCTGCGTAACAAGAATGGCCCCCTGAGGAACCCCACAAGAGAGAGGGGACCTCTCGGAGACCAGGCCTCCCCTCTCCACTCGCTATCCACAGTTGTGAAGAAAGGAGGGGAGCCAGTTTAAAGCTCTCCCCCTGACTCCAGCAGCAGCAAGGCAGTGGGTCAAAAGATTGTGGTCGACTGTGTCAAATGCTGCCGTGAGATCCAATAACAACCAGCAGCACTGACCCGCCCTGGTCAAGCTGGCATTGAAGGTGATCCGTGATGGAGACCAGCACAGTCTCTGTCCCGTGCCCCGCAGTTCAAAACACTCAGAGGGCCAAAGTTTTCCCACGCCTGATCTAAATCCATTCAAATCACAAGATGTCAATGACAAAGAAAAGATGAGAAGAAGCCCATTATTTTATTTTTTTGTTCTTAGTGTTTTGATTAGATACTTTATTGGAAGCAAAAAATTCTGTGCATGTTTTAAAAAATCCAACCCGTGTAGACATTTCGTTGCTTTTAAGAACCCAAAGCCACGGAAAACTCAATATTAAAAAGCAGCAAGATGGATCGTTTTGTTTTGTTTTTGCACACGCAGAATACAACAATACAGGAAGAAGAAGAAGAAGTAAAAAGTAGCCCAGTCTCCTTTTTTTTTTTTTTGTTAAAGTTGCTTTCCTGGATCGGTTTGCCGTTTTTAAACACTTATATATGTATATATATTTGTTTAAAGACATGCTACTGCCAAAGGGAAAAAAAATGAAAGAAAAGAGGGGAAAAAAGAGAATTACCTTTTTCAAGAATGCATTTAAGAAGCGTTTTCTGTGTCTGACTCTGCCCTTTAAAACATGACAGTTACAAGATATATATGCGAACGGTTATTGGATACTCAGGTCCAAGTGATGGGTTTGCCATTCCAGTTCCACAATGCAGGGAAAGAGAGGCCTCACGGGGATGTTGGGACGGGGAAAAGCTTCCCCCTGTGTTAAAGTATTACATTGGAGGGGATTCAAAGAGGAGAAGGACCCTCTTTCCCCGTCGTTTTGGATTCTCTCTCAGTTAGAAAACGGAGACCCGCGAGGCCTTTCCCGCACCGTGCCCCTTTTTCCCCCCAGCCACAAGCGTTCCTCCTGCAAACAATGTATTTACAGTTGTGTTAACTTACACAGCAACTTCACAATGACTAGTATAGGTTAAAGAGGGTGCGCTCTCTCTCTCTCTCTCTCATGGGTGCGTGAGTGCGGATGAGGATGTGCGAGTGCGTGTCCACGTCTCGGTGAATGTGTTTCTTCCATAGCTACATCTCGTGACGCCGGCAAAAGCTCTACAAAGGAAACCCACAAACTTCTTCCCCCCCCCCCACCAAAAAAAATAGTAAAAAAAATCATTTTGAAAGCAGAGAAATAAATATATTGAAGGAAAACCACAGTTAAAAATTGTAGTCCAGTTAAAAACGTAATACTAAACGACCAGTTATTTAACCAAACTAGGAAGGACCAACGTACTTGAAGACCTGACATTAAAAAATAAGAAAAGAAACTGAAAACAAAGGCAAAAGTCTGCATAATTGTACGTTTTGTATGTTTCCATCTTATGTTCCCTTCCTTTATCACCTAAGGACTTTGTAAAGTCTACTAAGTATGCTCCCTCGTCTTCCATTTGATTTCTGCTCCGTCCCTGTTTTCCTCTTCACGGCATGTTTACCTTCCATGGAGTCACGACCCTTTCGTTACCCTTTCCTTGCCGTTAATGCCATAACCTATGGAAAGGCATCCTATTTGGAAAATATTTCACCCTTAGTACAATGACCAAAGAGTGAATTAGTTGGGTTGTTGTATTGTCAAAGGCTTTCATGGCCAGAATCACTGGGTTGTTGTAGGTTTTTTTAGGCTATATGGCCATGGTCTAGAGCCATGATGGTGAATCTATGACACGCGTGTCAGCACTGACACACATGGCTATTTTTGATGACACGCAGACACATGTGGCCACATACAGAGAAATACACCTTATAAGAGCCAATCTAATTCCATCCTTAAATTTGTAAAAAACTCTACAAATTTAACATCTGCACGTTTGAGCATTGTTCACTCCATAACTCAGCATGGATTATGCATTTTTCTTATTTAAACTATAAATATTGCAAAATTATGGGGGTTTTTTCTCAAAGTGACACTCCACCCAAGTTATGCTTAGGTTTTTGGCAAATTTTGACACACCGAGCTCAAAAGGCTGCCCATCACTGGTCTAGAGGCATTTTCTCCTGATATGTCACATCTAGCTCCAGCAGACAAGAGTCCTTTGTCCCACCCTGGTCATTCCACAGATATATAAACCCTTTTTCCTAGTTCCAACAGACCTCACTACCTCTGAGGATGCTTGCCATAGATGCAGGCGAAACGTCAGGAGAGAATGCCTCTAGACCATGGCCATATAGCCCAGAAAAACCTACAACAACCCAAAAATGTAACAGTATCCAAAAGTCCCAGGCTCAGCCAGATCCCTGGACAAAGCTGAACGAATCAGCTTCATGTGTCTTATTTTACAGTTGACACACACACATACACCTACAGATTTCTTACTGTTCCAACACATTTCAGATTCAAAGTTCCCGCCGCCCCAGCTGGACCCTACTTCAGGAGAAAGGTCAGGAGAAAATGCCTCTAGACCATGGCCATATAGCCCGAAAAACCTACAACAACCCAGTCTTCCCCTCTAGCCAAGTAAACCCACAACAACCCAGTTGGGTTGTTGTGGGTTTACTTGGCTAGAGGGGAAGAGGAGCACATTTGCACATACAGCGCATAACACTCCATAGGTGTGATCCATAAACTTGGCCACAAGGGGCAGCATTGTTAGTCTTTTCATCGTGTTGTCGAAGGCTTTCATGGCCAGAATCATTGGGCTGCTGTGGGTTTTCCGGACTATATGGTCACATTCCAAAAGCATTCTCTCCTGACGTTTCGCCTGCATCTATGGTAGGCATCCTTAGAGGTTGTGTCTGTTGGAAACAAGGAAAATGGGGTTGATGTATCTGTGGAGTAATGTCCCAGGGTGGGAGAAAGAACTCTTTGTCTGGGTTGTTGTAGGTTTTTTCGGGCTATATGGCCATGTTCTAGAAGCATTATCTCCTGAAGTTTTGCCTGCATCTATGGCAGGCATCCTTAGAGGTTTTGAGGTCTGCTGGAAAAAAGGAAAATGGGGTTCATGTATCTGTGGAATAATGTCCAGGGTGGGAGAAAGAACTCTTTGCTTGGGTTGTTGTAGGTTTTTTCGGGCTATATGGCCATGTTCTAGAGGCATTCTCTCCTGCTGTTTCGCCTGCATCTATGGCAAGCTTATATGGCCATGTTCTAGAGGCATTCTCTACTGACGTTTTGCCTGCATCTATGGCAAGCATCCTCAGGATGCTTGCCATAGATGCAGGCAAAACATCAGCAGGGAATGCCTCTAGAACATGGCCATATAGCCTGAAAAAACCTACAATGTTTGCCAAAGATCAGTGGTTCTCAACCTGTGGGTCCCCAGATGTTTTAGCCTTCAACTCCCAGAAATCCTAACAGCTGGTAAACTGGTGTGATTTCTGGGAGTTGTAGGCCAAAACACCTGGGGACCCACAGGTTGAGAACCACTGCCATAGATGCAGGCGAAACATCAGGAGAGAATGCCTCTGGAACATGGCCATATAGCCCGAAAAAACCCACAACAGCCCAGTGATTCCAGCCATGAAAGCCTTCGACAACTCTTTGTCTCTTTGAGGTAGGTGTGAATATTTCACTTGGCCACCTTGATTAACATTGAATGGCCTAGCAGTTCCAAGGTCTGGCTTCTTACTGCCTGAGGGAATTTTGAGTGTTGTTCTTTAAGTACTGTTATGATTTATACATAAATAAAAGAACATCACTCAAAAACAGGGGAATTCCAGACAAGAAATAATTGAGACCAACTAATCACCTCCCAACAAAGGATTCCCCCAGGCAGTAAGAAGCTAGATCTTGGAAAATGCTAATTAAGGTGGCCAATTAGAACATTCACACTTACTTCAAACATACAAGAATTCTATCTCCAACCCTGGGCATTCCAGAGATATTTAAACCCAATTTTCCTAGTTTCCAACAGACCTCACAACCTCTGAGGATGCCTGCCATAGATGCTGTGAAATGTCAGGAGAGAATGCTTCTGGAACATGGCCACAAAGCCCGGAAAATCCACAAAACCCCAGTGATTCCAGCCATGAAAGCCTTTGACAATACATTGAATTAGTTAATTTGTTGTATTCAGAAGACCGAAACAAGGTCTCTTGAGTTGTGCCTGTCACCTTGTCCCTGACAAGAAGCAGGTGTAGGAAGGCTATTTACCTATATAATAAAATAATGGATTTTTTAAAAACACATTAATATGCAATAGCCAGGACTGCATTTCCAAAAGACTATTGTTTAGGGCGAAAGAGGCGAGGATCTTGGCTGGAAAGGCAAAGCTGGTTTCCTTCTCTATTTCATCCCTTTTCACCGTATCCAAACATAACCTTGAATCCCACGTCCTTTTGGCGTCCCAATATTTTCCCCCCTTGGAAAGGAACAAAGATATTCCAGACTGGTACTGACTGGTCTTTCTGGTTTTTGAATGAGTGAAAATATGCTAGGATCACATTGGCTCTCTCTCTCTCTCTTGTTATACAAAAAAAGAAGGAATTTCCTTATAAATAACGAAGACACTGACTTTCTTTTTTGTGCTTGTGAAGCTAACAGATCATCTTCACGAGACAGGCAGCAATGATGAACCGTGCTACGTTACGGATGGGGCGGGGAGAGGGCAAGCCGATAGCCACACTGCTGTCAATGAGTCACAGGGAAGGAGGGAGGAAAGGATGGAAGGAAGGGAGGAAAGGAGGGAGGAAGGGAGGAAGGAAGAAGCAGTGATGGTCTGGAGAAAGGTAAGAGAGAAGCGACGACGATGGACGGACTATTAACACGAACAGCCCCCTTCACTGACTGGCTGCTCTTGAGGCTTTTCAAGTTTGATGTCAATCACTGGAAAAGAGAAGAAGCAATTAAGGAAAATGACAAGGAGAAGGTGGCACACCTGAAAACTCAGCCCAAACATACAGGAAAAGCTTATTTGATCCATTTATCCATTTTGCTAAGGGCCATCCTAAACCCAAATTCATTTCGTGCCATATATAAACTGAACAAGCTGAAGATCAATCCCGACAAGACAGAGGTCCTCCTGGTCGATCGCAAACCAGGTTGGCTGCCTGTGCTGGACGGGGTTACACTCCCCCTGAAGCCACAGGTCCGTAGCTTGGGTGTCCTCTTGGACTCATCGCTCACGCTTGAGGCTCAGGCGTCGGCAGTGTCCGGGAGGGCTTTTGCACAATTGAGACTTGTGCGCCAGCTGCGCCCGTACCTCGCGAAGGCTGATCTGGCCGGGGTGGTCCATGCCTTGGTCACCTCTAGACTAGATTACTGCAACGCGCTCTACGTGGGGCTGCCCTTGAAAATAGCTCGGAAATTCCAGCTGGTCCAACGGGCAGCAGCCAGGATGTTAACTGGGGCTCATTACAGAGAGAGGTCAACCGTCCTGTTTAAGGAGCTCCACTGGCTGCCGTTTATTTTCCGAGCCCAATTTAAGGTGCAGGTGCTTACCTACAAAGCCCTGAACAGTTTGGGACCACCCTACCTGCATGACCGTATCGCTGTCTACGAACCCACACGCTCACTCCCGTCATCTGGAGAGGCCCTGCTCATGATCCCGCCCGCGTCGCAAGCGCGCTTGGTGGGGACACGAGACAGGGCCTTTTCTGTGGTGGCCCCCCGACTGGAACACCCTCCCGAAGGATCTCAGACAAGCCCCTACATTGGCAGTCTTCAGGAAGGAATTGAAAACCTGGCTGTTCCAATGTGCCTTCTCAGATTAGGAACCTCCAGCACCAAATCCTAGAAGCACCTTAGTAGAACCAAGATCACTGCACACTGCACACTGCACGTATATTTAATCCCATATCCCTCCTGCCACATCAGCACTTTTAACCCTTTACCCCTGTACCCGGCCGGCCCAGTTTTAATAGTGTCTTGTTGTATTGTTACTGTTATTGTTTTCCTGCTTAACTGTTTTAATTTGCTTGGTATTGTATTGTTGTATTGTGTTTTTGGGACTTCGGCCTGTGTAAGCCACATCGAGTCCCTTGGGAGATGCTAGCGGGGTACAAATAAAATAATAATTATATATATGGGAGCCCCTGATGGCACGGTGGGTTAAATCGCTGGGTTGCTGACCTTGTTGACCAGAAGGTCAGCAGCTGGAACCCAGGGAGTGGGGCGAGCTCCTGCCATTAGGCCCAGCTTTTGTACGGTTCCGGTCCAGTGTATCTGTCCGAACATATCTCCCTCTACGTCCCACCTCGGAATTTGAGATCATCTGAGGGGGCCCTGCTCTCAACTCCACCGTTATCACAAGTGAGGTTGGTGGGGACGAGGAGCAGGGCCTTCTCAGTGGTGGCCCCTCACCTGTGGAACTCACTCCTGGGGGAAATTAGGGCATCAACATCCCTCCTCTCCTTTAGGAGGAAGGTAAAGATGTGGTTATGGGACCAGGCCTTTGGGCAATCTGACTCCTAGATAAGGGTAACCAGACGAATGGGACTAACAGGACTGACAACTATGGAATTGGAAATTGAACTATGAGCTAGCGAACGTTGACCATCAATGAGGAGAAACTGGTTTGTATTGCTTTTATTGGTTTTATGTTAGTAATGTAAGAAATGTTGTTTAATTGTTAATTGATGTTATTTTGTTTTACTATTGTTTGTGATATGGGCATCGAATTGTGCCTTGTTTTTGTAAGCCGCTCTGAGTCCCCTTCGGGGTGAGAAGGGTGGGGTAGAAGCAACAGAAATAATAATAATAATTTTGCCAACCTAGCAGTTCAAAAACATTTAAATGTGAGTAGATCAATAGGTACTGCTTTGGCAGGAAGGTAACGGCGCTCCATGCAGTCATGCCAGCCACGTGACCTTGGAGACGTGTTTTAATTAACTGTTTAATTACTGCTTCTAATATTTTTAATGTATTGCTGATTGTTTTTATGATGCTGGCATCTGATGATGCTTTTGTGAGGCTGCCCTGAGTCCCCCCTCGGAGGTGAGAAGGGCGGAGTAAGGTGTTTAGGTGGAATCTCTTTTCCTGCAATTTATGAGGGTTGAATAAAAAGTATTGCCTCTACCTTCGTAACTCCTCAACAGATGGCACTACTGGTATGCGGCAGGTACTGGCTTGTTCAGTAGACTCTCCTCTACAGTTCCATTTTGGTGAGAAGCCTTAGCATTGAATGGTTGTGTTGTTAAAGTGTGAAGTATGGAACCCTGTGCAGACAGTTGGTCGATGCGACTTAAGCAACGTGCAGTCATTGAATTCTTGACAGCAGAAGGTGTCACCTCAACATCTTTAAATTTACTCGCCCAATGATGCACAGTACTCACATCAACACAATCATCATAAACGGCTTGCATTCTCTGGTGGTGACACCTTTGGGGTGACACCTTCTGCCGTCAAGAATTCAATGACTGCATGTTGCTTGAGTCGTATTGACTGACCATCTGCGCAGGGTTCCATACTTTGCACTTTAACAACACAACGGTTCAATGCTAAGGCTTCCCACCAAAATGGTACTGTAGAGGAGAGTCTACTGAAAAAGCCAGTACCTGCCGCATACCAGTACTGCCATCTGTTGAGGAGTTACGAAGGTGGAGGCATTACTTTTCATTCAACCCTCGTAAATCTATTGCTCCACTGTCTTCTAGTCTCTGGAACAGTGGTTCCCGACCTGTGGTCCACAGGAACTAAAATATGGTCCAAGGCCTTACCCTTACTACGCTGTTGCAACGAGAGTAACTGGTCTTGCAAAACCCTCTTAAGTGCCAAGGCTTATTAAATATGTGTGACAACTACTGGATGTCATATGTTCTGTATCAGAAACTACAGCTGATGTGGTCTATCCAATGCAATCTTCTGAATCAGCACCCCAAATAAACAAAACCCATCTAAAGTTGACCAAAAACTGATTCATAGAATCATAGAATCAAAGAGTTGGAAGAGACCTCATGGGCCATCCAGTCCAACCCCATTCTGCCAAGAAGCAGGAATATTGCATTCAAATCACCCCTGACAGATGGCCATCCAGCCTCTGCTTAAAAGCTTCCAAAGAAGGAGCCTCCACCACACTCCAGGGCAGAGAGTTCCACTGCTGAACGGCTCTCACAGTCAGGAAGTTCTTCCTCATGTTCAGACGGAATCCCCTCTCTTGTAGTTTGAAGCCATTATTTCATGTCCTAGTCTCCAGGGAAGCAGAAAACAAGCTTGCTCCCTCCTCCCTGTGGCTTCCTCTCACATATTTATACATGGCTATCATATCTCCTCTCAGCCTTCTCTTCTATGATTCTATGGCTGTCATGTCCCCTTCTCTCAGTCTCCTTTTCTCCCAAGCTAAACATATCCAGCTCCCTAAGATGCTCCTTGGAGGACCTGGCTTCACCATTTTGGTGGCACTTCTTTGGATTCCAATTGTGAGTTTGCTCATGCTGGCTTCTGGGGCAAGGGTCCCATTTCCCTTTCTTAACTCTAATGATCTGCTTAAATACTGAGCAAGGATCTGAGAACAGGGTGCCTTGCTGTGGTAGCAACACTATAGGAGAACCACAATGTTTTGAAAAGGCCTTTGGTTCTTCTTTTCCATGGAAACCAACATCTTTGGTATCAAGTGGGGGTCGACAAAGCCATATTTATTTTCTAAAGCATTTAACGTTTCGATTTTGGTTCTCTGGAGCTCTGGAACGGAAGGAAGGCCTGCCAACCAATATTTCTCCATTAGCCTTCAGTGCCTCCTTGTTGACCCTTCATGTTTCTCCTCAAATGAGTCACCATCTCCCGGGATAAGCTGCTCTTCTTCTCTGTGACCAGCGCCACCGAGTGATTCTAAAGCTGGGTTTTGTAATGTGGGCACTTAAAATAACCTGTTGCATTTTGCCTCCTTCACACCTGATGTCCTCATCTGCCATTGACAGGTTCTACAAATAATATCCTGTGGGTGTGATGACACACAACGGTAATGGCAGCCCGGAACGTGTAACACTCATCCTCCAGCTGAACAGACCACAAATGCTTGTCTTAGCGAACACTATCATGACTAAAGCAAGTGTGAATAACTAGGAAGGGCTCGAAGAAAAGCAAATCACTAGCAAAAGCCACACAGAGCAATGACAACACAAAGCACTCATACCCACACTCAGGAATAAACCATCCTTAACTGTGAGTCAAGCCACCAATCCATCTCTAGCCGCAGCGTGTTTTGCATTCTCTGGCAATGGTTCAACATGAATTCCAGACAAGATTAAATTTTTGGACTCCACAGAAATGTCAAGAGCTGAACATGGAACGTGAAGTATGCGCTCTGGCATAGACTAGAGCTCTCCTTAGTGTAGGTAAAGGTTTTCCCGTGACATTAAGTCCAGTCGTGTCCAACTCTGGGCATTGGTGCTCATCTCCATTTCTAAGCCGAAGAGCCGGCGTTGTCCGTAGACACCTCCAAGGTCATGTGGCTGGCATGACTGCATGGAGCAGCCTTACCTTCCCGCTGGAGGGGTACCTATTGATCTATTCACATTTCCATGTTGTCGAACTGCTAAGTTGTCAGAAGCTGGGGCTAACAGTGGGAGCTCGCACCACTCCCCAGATTTGAACCTGCAACCTTTCAGTCTATTTCTTTATTTCTTTATTTATATCATTTCTATGCCGCCCATTTCAGCCCGGAGGCAACAGGGAGGCATACAGACCGGCAACAATTAGATGCCATTTATATGCATATATCAGTTAAAAGCAATTAAATCACATCATAAATGCATATAAAATCCATAAAACCATAAAAACTATAAACATCTATAAAAAACCAGTGTCTTCCAGTCCAATTCCTCATTCGTATACATTGTCTTAGCCATTCCGTGTTCGTATTACAATTTTGTGTTTATCTGGTCACGCTG